ATTAGAAGACGCGTCGATTTTGCGTTAACGCGAAGGTAAACGCGAACGTAAACGCCCGTTTACTTTTTATGTCTACTGAAATTTCCGAGTTAACGCACAGTTAACGCGGCGTTTACTTGAAGTGCACGCGAGTAAACGCCGCGTTAACTTTTTCCGCCCGTTTACATGTAATGCTTGGTCAGTACCCAACTGTACGATACCGCCCTCGGATTGTCTCACAGAAATATCCCAATGAAGAAAGGATGCAAACTCGTTGAATAAAGCACAGCTTATTGAAGCGCCAAAAGGGAGAGATTCATCGAAATAAAAATATTGATTAATCTTAAAACCAAGAAGATTAAAATCAATCGGTGAGATAGGTAGTAATCTGAAAGCTGATCGAACGTCGGACTTACTGGCTAATGCTTTATTTCCCTACAGCTTAATAATTTTAACAGCGTCATCAATATTCGAGTAAACAATTAACATTTCTTTGGATCAATAAAATCATTTACGGATGTATTTTCTGGATAAGATAAATGATGAATTACCCTGAATTGATCGTCCTCCTTCCCCTTGGGAACTAAACCCAATGGGGAAATTCGTAAATTCGTAAAGTTGATATGGGCCTAAATTTTAAAGGACCAGCAATTCGCCCTGCATATTTCTTGACCTTGATCTCGCATAGCTGTTGTAATGTAAAACGACCAAAAATCTTGGTTTATGACAGACCAAGTTGATTGGGGGCTTTGTGCTTTGCGGAGTCTGAATTACTTATCATAAGTTCCCCAACCATGGGATTTGTTTGCTGCAAATCGAATATCTCCCATATACTTTAGAAGGTCCTGAGCCAAGGAACTCTGGTTATGTTTTTCAAGCAAAACACTCAATTAGAGATTTCCAATAAAATGACATACGTACGTAACTCGACGTACGGACCTAATGGGACCGGTTATTGTCAAAATAAAAATTTGCTTAAATACGTCGCTCAAGTTTAAACTAAGCATTCAAAGACTATAAAAACAACACACTAGACTTTTGTCAACATTATATAATTTTAGGTGATGTAAAAGGATAGAAATCATGTATTTTAATCATCACGTGATTCTCAAGATTCCCGCCTAAAATTTGCATTATCATAAGATACGTATATACACGTATCCCATACATGTCATAGCGATTGATTCGAGTTATATTTCATGGTCTTAATTATGACAATTTGTTTCAATATTCTATGCAGATGAACGTTCCATGATAATGAAACGTAAAAGGATTCTTATAGAAGAAAGAATGTGTTCAGCTAAACCATAACATAAAACCCGATTTTTGTTTTGAATGATTATAGTTCGCCTTCAAACTAGCCGAATTTCTGATTTTAAAAACAAATCAAACTAAATAATTATTAATAAATTTAAACAACAACACGTTCTTAAATCATAATCCAAAGCCAGAGTTTTGTAAGAAAAAAAGAAAATGCATCTGTAGGTAGCTATACGGCATCGAAGGATGACCCGAATGAAAACGCTGTATAGTAAACTCTAAATTAAATAGGTTATTTGTAAATTCAAAACGCATATATGTCACCAAATTCCTTATTGAGAATCGGAACCCTAAAACACTTCATAAGACATCCATATCATCCGAGTAAAACTAGTGTGTGAGTACGCAACAAGACAACTGCGAGAACGAATACACGTTTCTATAAAATGTACGAAAAAAAAAGATAAACACATTTTCTAAATAGATCATTGTATTTTAGAAGGTGTGCTCGATTAAGAATTGTACGTTGTCATTTTGTTTAACGGGGTTGACAGTTTAAAATATTAAACGAGTCCAAATACAAACTACATGTCCTGGCAAGATCTTTTAAATCACTTGAAATATGTTCACTTATAGTTTTTTTTATCCATTTTATTATTAAATAATTTATAGGTGGTCACTGAATTTGTGAAGTGCATTTGCCATATGTAAAAAAGATTTCTTTGCGCAATACAGTCAAAACGACACGCTTTTTTTTATTTCTTTAACTGTTTAGATGTTGAATTTGGCACGTGACGGACCAACGGACGGATGCACAGACCAGAAAATATAATATCCACCTGCAATCATGAGTTGGGCATAAAACTAAAATAACCTACTTAACAAAACTGCTACGAAATATTCCATACATGTCCGCTTTTCAGAAGTATTTGTTTCAACGTCAAGCATTTCATTAAAACGATCTGTGAGCAATGACTTTAATTGCACATAAAGACTCTTCATAGTACCCATGCATCATATAATGCATTGTATATAACTAAAGAATAGAAGTAAAATAACAACTGGTTTGATAAAGTATAATGATTTTTTTTTGAAGATGCATTCTCATAAATTTCCTTTTATTAATACTACAGAATGATGACAAAGTAATTTCTGATAAATGCATCAATGATCTGAATTTCTGCTTCTGACAAAAGTATCTTGAAATTAATTACAGAAATATGCTAAAATAAGAAGCAAGTCGAATACACCATTTATTTTCGGGTGTGTTTGAAACTCCTGGTTTAACGTTAGAACTTTAAAACCAAAAATGAGAATATCATCTCGCTTCAGAATTCATTATTTTTATTTTTTCAGACCTAATTTCGACTTAGTAGTTTTAAGAATTTATCCTTTGAGAAGAAATAAATATATGGGTCACGTGAAATGACCAAGTAATGATGGTGCATTTGAGTACACGTGGATGGATTAATTATTCCCTTAAAAGGTTGTTGCCAATAAAATCCTCTTGCATGTGGTAAAAAAAATCATGTAAAGATTTAAAAAAGCAGGTTGGGTTAATATAAAAATTTATTCGATTCCAACACAATATGTGTATTCAACTAACACAAAACTCGTGCAGTCTATGCTCCCCTCTGTCATGCTTTAGAGCAATAGGCCGAGATACGTTCAGATAAGTTGGTTATGTCGAGTAATGTCATTTTATTGGAAATCTCTTATATAACATAAAAGCGCTTGTCCAAGTGTGGATATTGGATATTGCGCGACATGGCAAAGATTTTTTGATAATCAAAATGTTTGTATATAGTTAAACAGATGCTACAATCAAGTTTTTTGTATTACAAGTGAGAAAGTTCAATGTGCTTTACACATTTAAGAATTAAAGGCACGTGATAATAATCATTCTAAACTAACAGAGGCGATCCTTATGTGTGTCAGCATCATTAGACACATTTGATTTATAATACTAACATATTATAAACAAAAACAACGTACGCCTGTGGCCTTATTGAATTCAATTATCTAATATACAATAATGGCTATTACCCCTGTTGGGGGTTCTGTAAAATATATGATGATGTCTATTTTTTGTTTGTTCAATAGTTACCTTTATATAATACAGTCCTCTCTTCCAATTTCAAAATCCTTAATCATTAATAATACACGACAATCTCGATTCAAATATTCTGTCATTATGTTTTTGAATATAGTCTGTTTATCATGCTCAGCTGTTTATTCAAATCAAGTATTGATGACAGATTTTTGGTAGTTCCTGTTACTCATACCAATTTTAGGACGCGTTGCAGCTTAGCATATTGTGAAATAGCGTATATTGCTGAAGACTGTTTGTTGGCTTCTTCTTATATATTGCGTTTCGTTTAAATAAAATGACAGTTGAATCAAAATAATTGGAAAGCCCGATCAATTAAGAAGTTGAAGAACACCATACCTACAAATGAAATATTAAAAAAGTATAATTGAGTTTATGGTTTATCTTGAAAAACAAACAGACTTAACATTATTGTTATATGTCCCCAACACGTCAAATCATAAATTTGATGCTAAGCAATTACATCTCTCTACAAATTATCTGTGATTATGTAAAAAGAAAATAATTTGCATTTAAACATCAATAAATTGCAACCCACCAACCAGAACATCATATTGTCATCAACAACAAGAAGGTGCATCATTTTTTCAGTATGCCAAGCTCATAAAAAAAGTTGTGTAGAAATTCAACAACTGTTTTCAATAACGTAACGATTCTTGGTTGGGTGAGCATTTCCATTAGACCTATGTATACTGATAATGGTATAAGTTTATGTCAATTTCTTCCCTGATTTAACCTCGGAATAGAAATGTTATAACGCAATGTACAAAGCGTAAAACAGATAACTGAAATAGATTAAACCACTCAGATTGGCTCTTAAAGCATCAATATCTTAAGGTATAACAAGAGACACATTATCCTATTTGAAAATACCCGTATTCACTAAAAATCCATGCTTTTTCGCCCTTGAATTTTGGAAATCGAAACGTATTACTTATCAGCAATGATATCTTCCAGACTTTAGATATCAGACCATCAGACAATTTCATTTTTAATTTTGTCTTACTATACATATTTCAAAGGCTTCAAATATAGTACAAAAATTCAACAAATCCTAAAACAGTCTCATTTTGATATTTAGTTATTTATATTTACATATGATCATAGCATTTACCTCAAAAGATATTTAAGTACAAGATGCATTTAAAAAAGATGCCACTGCGTGTAAAATATCTCTTTGGATAAGGACTTGACTCATATTATATATTTCACAAGTCAAATATTTCAGAGACATATCCAATTATTCATTTATCAATAAAACTAACATAAATTTAAAAAACGTTTGTATATTTTTACTATATTTGCAATTTCAGGGACCACATCATGTCTTTGTTGTGCCATGATAAATACGTTTTCGGTAATGCGAACAACAAAAGTCATTTTAATCAATCCATGAGTAATCAATGATACATATAACTATCACTAAAATATATCAATGATGATGAGCGACAAGTTATTCGTATTGTAATACTTTTAAACATCTTGCAAAATTCAATTTGCACAACAAAGTTCACAATTTACCCGAACGTGTAAGACTAGTGTTTAATTTACGTAATTGATATCATTTATACGTACAAATATATGCCTGGTTACATTGATGAGGTGTTTTGTAAAGACATAATCGGACAGCATGTTATTTCTATTCTCATAGGAGAAACCCACAGATGAACAACAGATACCAAGAGGGAAAATGCTTTTATTGGTACGTAGTTATAATTTCATTTACATAGACAGGTATCATTATATGTATTGTAAGATTAAATGCAACCAGGAAAAAATAAATAAACGAAAAACAATGCATGCATCCGTTATTAAGAGTAAATAATTCTTCAATAAAAAATCCTAGACCTAGAATTGTCAAATCGGACTAGACGATAAGAAGCATAAATATTTCGATGACTTTTAAATTTTACAAGTGACATGCAGATCTTTGTAGTAAGTGTTTGACATTAAAATCCTGAACAGAAAAATGATTCGGAAAATATAAAGATTCAAGTGATTGTTGTGTGAATAATCGCATCCGTACCAAATGAATACATATTGAAGTATGTCGAAATAATGGCCTGTAGTCATTAATATTAATCATGATGTGATGATGGTTTCAAAAAAGGAAAGTAGTTCTCAAAAGGAAAAGAAATTAATAAACTAATGAACATGCATTTTGCAAAACTGCACTACTAATTGTGAGAGGACTATAAAACACGATTTATAAAAATTATATTTGAATATTTAAATATTTATACCCTAATTTTCTTTAAGTAAATTCCATCATATTGACAAAAATGTGTGAAAAAACAAAAAACACATAAAGCACTTCTGTTTGTTATTATTATTATTGTAAATTATTCTGTGTTACGAATCATCGCAGCGAGTAAGAAGATACTTTCTTGTAAGTCAGAAGAATGGTTTTTGAGCTTTTGATTTTGCCATTTGATTAGCGACTTTCCGTTTTGAATTTTCCTAGGTATATTGTGATTTTACTTTTTAAATTTTCTTTGGAGTTCGGTATTTTTTTTATTTTTACTTTTTAAACGTATCGATGTTTTTGAGTCGCTCATTCATCAACCGTCGACCACTCCAGTAAAATCCTTTACAGAGAGAACCACAGAAGCTATCGTGTTAGCGAGGATACTATAAAAAGACTTCGTTAAGAGAAAAATTAAAATGGGAGACATTTTTTTACTAGAAAAGCAGAAACGAAGAGGTCCATATAAACATCTGGATGATTTTAAAAAGAAAAAAATATATATACAGTGTAAAGAATATCAAAACGACTACACATAACAGAATGGTATAGAACGAAAGTAATTCTATCAGATTTCGTTACTATATGATTTCTTTGCATTCGTTACTTAAACGTTTAAACTTCCTTTCGTTACATTCAATATGCATACAGTAAAATCTTGAATGACAGGTTTTTTAACTCCGTTTTGCAAGAAAATCAGCAGTCAATGCTACACTTTTAACTTTACGAATACACATATAGTGTTTGCATACTTTAGTCAAATCAATGACCAGTGCTGGTCACTCATTCGCTGAGTTTATCCGAAAACGCCTGTCTATAATAAAATTTTATTTTTCGCCCTGTTTTAATGTGACATATTTGGAAAATATCTATAATAATTGTTCCACTAATTTTAGTCATTCGCTTGAAGACGAGCACACGGACCCTTATTTTTAAAATGACATTTGGCTTATTTATATAGGAAGATTATTTTACCAATTTTTGAAAATATCATCGACGATGTAAACAATAGCGCATATGCAAAGTTTCGTAAAAAACACCATGGGTTTCAAACTTAATCGTATGCCCGTAAGCATCGCCCAGGCACTTGTTATAAATCAAGTAGTAGAATAGTTTTCTGAAAGGAAAAAAAATTCAATGTAAAGCATTTGAATTTCAAATGTTTATCAATCATCCGTTAAAATGTTTTTTTAAGCTTTCAGATACAATGATCAAGAAGGATAAAGTCTCTTTCACAGTAACATCAGCCAGTAACAATGTTTTCCGTCTGAGAGGTAGAATTTTTTAAAGATGTTTTTTCTAAACATTACAGAAGAAATATTATTTGTTTGTAAAAACAAGAAAAAGAAAACAAATAAGATATGCAATGAAATTGTATTTCTCACACAGCGTCACATTGTATGTAACCCTATTTCTTAAATACACGTTGATATTTTTCAATACATTTCAATATTTGTCTTACCCAAGAATGTTAAATATAATACAAATTGTTCAGTATTTCACAGTTTTGATGATGACTTGTATTGCTCAAATACAATACAAACCATAAAAAAAATAATTGAACTTACAAAAAAGTATGCATCCGTATAGCACGGATTTTATTTTGAAAAAAAAATATTGATTGTAAATACATATTTTGATATACAGTTCGATGGTTAATAAAGGATTTGGCTATTCTCTGTCGTTCTTAAGTTAACTAATGATTCACTACAAGACAGGGGGAATATACCAAAGGGATTTTCAAACTCTTAAGTCAAAGACAAACTGACAACGCCATGGCGAAAAACGAAAGGCAACAGCCTACAAAATACAACTGGTCGTTTAATGTTTACTATTTGATTTGTGTCCTCATATGTAACTAACTAACCGTTTATATGTAACCCTTCCAATACAACTATCGAATGACAATTCGACAAAGTGCATTTACCCGACCTCTCGGAAATTAGATTAAGCTTAAGATGAAGAATCTGAGATTGTGTATCATGTTTCGTTACTTTCCACTCGATTTAGGAGATTAACTTCAACATATGAGTAGACAAATATACATTATAAAAACTTCTACGAAGTCTTTTTTGATAGTCTGTAGCTAAGAAACAAATGAAAGGATATGATGGAGAATTAATTGCCGCCAACACGTAATTCTTTTACAGCATTTTTGTTTTTCAAAGCTCCACCCAAAATGTTCATCCCTGAAGACCTGTCATGATGTTGCTGGATAATGAATTGCAAAAGAGCGCATTTGTTTTGAAGAATTGGCTATTTGAATAGTATTTCGTCTATTTATTCACCCTTTTTCTATTTCAACACATTGGATAAACTTATTATATTCTAAAAATCAAAATTATAGCTAGTATGATAATGTTAGACAAAAGTAGCTATCGCAACATTACATGTATATTAATGTTTGTGGTGCGCTTGTATTCGACAATGTAAACTAAATAATAATTAGGATCGTACTGCGCGATCACATTATCTTTCCACAGAATGAATTAATTGTATTTCATCTAAATAAAGCTGAATGCAATGAAAAGAGGAATAAATGGGTCGAAGCCATCAATGATGTTAGGGTCAATTTGTACAACAGAATGTTCAAGGTATTGTATAACAGTGTCTTTTCTTAGAGAACCATTAAGAAGTGACAAAAATTAAAAGAACAAAAGAACTAATCCTCATTTGTAAATAGAATCATTACAAACGTGTTTCGAAAAGCAAAATGGGAGGCAGTTGAAACCTTAGTTCATCAATAATTTTCATTTCTAGACGCAGAACTTAAGAAGGATGTGTCGTTATTGTGTGACGCATTATGCTCGATATCTTTCTTAAACGGATTTCTTTATTATGGGTCCAACTAATGAAAAAATATTAGAAGTAATACAACTTCCTTTTAACAATTAAGTTAAAATAATAAAAGGAATTTTTAAATTTGGGATCCACATGCATACTTTCTTATTTAAAATCAAAATTGTAAGTGGTCTTGGTCATCTTTAATATCCATTCTCGCCTATAGATGTAACTTTACATATCAAAACATTTCCTTACATTAATGCTACGAATTTAACTTCAGAATGGATGAATACGGTCAATTATTATCCAAATAATAAATTAATGAAAATAAAACTAGCTGTTATTAGGGCCCTGCCGAATGGCGGGTCGCCCTATAGTGATCAGTCTGTCCGTCCGTCCGTAACAAATTGTGTCCGCTCTATATCTAGGGAACCGTTATGATTTCAAAGTTTATACATGACATGTATATTAACCAACACCAGAGGGTGTGTCATAATGTTTGTACAACTTCCTAGGTCAAATGTCAAGGTCAAAAACTTTGGTTTCAGTTGACAACCCCGTGTCCTATGGTAAAGATCGTGTCCGCTCTATATCATGAGAACCGTTATGGTTTCAAAGTTAATACTTGCCAGGTATATTAACCAACACCACAGGGTGTGTCATAATGTATGTACAACTTCCTAGGTCAAATGTCAAGGTCAAAAACTTTGGTTTCAGTTGACAACCCCGTGTCCTATGGTAAAGATCGTGTCCGCTCTATATCTTGAGAACCGTTATGATTTCAAAGTTTATACTTGACATGTATATTAACCAACACCACAGGGTGTGTCATAATGTATGTACAATTTCCTAGGTCAAAGGTCAAGGTCAAAAACTTTGGTTTCAGATGACAACCCCATGTCCTATGGTAAAGATACACATTTTTTTACCACACTTTATTCACAGCGGGGCCCACATAGATGGCTACCATTTCAAAGATGTCTAGTTTATTTTTGTTCCTAGTGCCTTTTTGGATTTATTTTCAGCGGGAAAATATAAAAAGAACACGTTATAAATTTCATGCGTCTTTAGCGCTTTTCTGAATTTACCTTCATCAGAAACGATGAAAGCCAAATGTTTGAAAGCCAAGGATGTATAAGAGCTGAAACAGCTGAAGAGCTATATGACCAAATAGGACCTAAAAATAGCCAAATCTATCTAAGGTCTTAGAAAGGTTTTATTTGTAAAATACCTTTATTACACAATGTTGACTGCTGTACCCACATTTGTGATACCTTTGCATATTATGTCTGTTTGTTTTCTCACACATTGTTGTCATTATAAAAGAATTTTATGCGACTGTAATACAAGTGAGCGGTTTAGCTAGCTATAAAACCAGGTTTAATCCACCATTTTCTACATGAGGTAATGCCTGTACCACGTCGGGAATATGGCAGTTTTTTTCCATTTGTTTTATGTGTTTGAGCTTTTGATTTTGTCATTTGATAAAGGACTTTCAGTTTTGAATTTTCCTTGGTATTTTTGTTACTTTTCTTTTTATTCAAACTGTTCTAATCGTTGGATCTAAAATAAACATTGCACTCTGGAAAATGGGCATATCACATCCTTGTAACATATAATGACAGTTGTTTAAATGAGGACCATTCGTTGATCCATTAACCCAAACGTATAGTTTAGTAACAGTTTTAATTTTCCGGTGAAACAATGGATAACAAGATGACAGCCACAATGTATCAAGATGGTATGATGTAAATAACTTTCACGTGAACCTTAAATGTTGTACATAAATATTGTCTTAATTCTACTTTTGATGAAATTCACATTACTCAATTTACAAAAATATCCGTATGAAATGGACATTTGTGGATGAGAAAATATAGGCTAGGTATTTTCCTATAAATCCAGTGTGTAAGTTGTTCATAATTCTAAACAATTTTAACAGAGAAAAAACATCAATAGGTAAATAGAAGCGTCAAGTTGATATTTTATATCAAACAAAGCTACATCCACATCTCCTTATTTTTATACAGAAAACTTAAAATAAAGCGAGAACAATAACCTACCCCAAATTTTGTTTTTCTTATTTAGAGAGTGAAAAGGGAATTGCATTTTGAGAGTTTAATATTTTTCTAATGATTAAACACAGTTCAGAACAGACAAATTTAGACAGTTAACTTAGTTTTAGTATATTTTATAAGTAATGACGGAAAACATCTCTTTTACAGTTTCATTCTGTGAATATTTTCTATCAATTCTATTAATTCTTCCCAGTCTATTCCTATTCAGCGGAGATAAGTAACGTTAAATCCCACTTTAACTTTGAAGAACAACATATGATATCATTTCGTGTAGAAAATAAACTAGTGTCTTCTATCCGGTCTAGGAAAAGTAACATCTAAACTAAGAATCATGGTTGAAACTGAAACTTTACATACTAGAAATAAACATAGAACATTACTTAATGATATGCATATTGAAATTTCAAGGGGTTTGGGGGATTGGTCTATAAAAATATGTTTTAAAATATAACTATAAACTGGCTTGTAATTTGCAAGATGATATTATAATGTCGAGTTTTCCTTGACAATTTTATCTAAAGCTGGAATTGATGCATGTTTATAACTATTTTATAAGTTTAAAGTAACTAGAAATGGCTGTTCTGCAAAATAATTTTAGTGACCCTTGTTTCATGTTCTGAGTTTTTTCCGCTGTCAGCCGTTCTTGTAGATCTACTTAACAAATACAAATTTTGTGGTATATTGCAAGCACTTCGCGTAAAATTCAACTTTTTGTTTAATTTTTTTTTTTTAATTTGACATATCAACAAAGAAACGAGTAAACCGATCAGGGCAGACAAATTTTTGAAATAAAATTGCAAGATTAAATAAGGTGTACGTGTGTAACGAGTAAAAGATATTATGGTGTAATTAATAAACTAAAGCGCAGAGGCATGACAATTTAGCTTGATGAGAACTTACTTTGAAAGATGAATTAATACCTAGAAATAACAACACCAAACTTCTAAATGTTTCTATGCGATAACAATATTTCGATCGGCTGTGGGTAAAATAATCTGGGTCCATAATTCGTTCAACTCCATGTAAACCGGGACAAAAAAAACTCGATCAGAAACTCATAACATCTGATTCGTTAGAAAATTTCTAAAAGCGAAACAAAAAAATGTGCAAACGTTTGTTTTATCTGAAAAAGATATGGAAGTAAGGGCAACCTAATGTACAAGGTATAATAAAAATACCGACCTACAAGGTAAATTCATAAAAGGAGAAGTCCATAAAAACTTGACAAAATCAAACCTAATAAACATACGGAACGAGTGAAAAGCAACTGCCATATTCTTGACTAAGTACAGACATTTTCCGAGGAGAAATTGTATGTTAAACCTAGATTTATAGCTTTCGTATCCTCCCACTTGTATGACAGTTGTTTATTGTTCAGTTGTATTGACAAAATTGGGTGATCAAACCAAACCGACATACAGTTTGGAAGGTTCATAAAATAGATTATTGATAATCATATATACCATATTCCAATATGATGAATTTTTTCAATTTCCGAAAGCCGGAGTATAAAGTAAAATAACAAAAATACCTATTCCGAGGAAAATTCTAAACGGAAAGTCCCTTAGCAAAGGGCAAAATCAAAAGCTCAAACACATCAAACACATCAAACGAATGGATAACAACTGTCATATTCCTGACTTGGTACAGGCATTGTCTTAATTATGTAGAAAAATTACACATTCACTGATACTACTTATTATTCAAAATTTGGGATATTACGTATTCACTGATACTATTTATTATGCAAAATTTGGGATTTTTGTCAGTATTTATTGCATTCCAAACTATGTCATGGAAAATATTTTCGGATAAGCTATATTCCTTTTCAATATTATTGAACATTTTTGATAATATAATAAAACAAAAATGGCAGATAACACTCTCGATTATCGAGTTTTAAAATGCGACTCCACTGTGTACATCAATAACGTTGCAGAATAATTTAGGATTTACTTCTAATGAAATCCAAACTTTCACATAACATAACTTGAAAACTAAGGAATTTCTTTGCGCAAATAGATTCGCTATTTATTTTAATTATAAAAATACATATAAATGTAATTTAGAAAATGCTTATGAGGTAAAAAAATATCTGGGGATTTAAGATATTTTCCTTCATATTCATTGCATTTGACGACTATCAAGTTTTTAATTCCAACTGCTCGTATATCAAAAACTAAATAGAAGAGTTGATAGCAAACCCTTCCTGACCTGTTGTTAATGATGCACACTTGGTATCATTCCATTGACGACCATAAGATGTTCATACAAATGAATAACAGGTAAACAAAACGTTAAACGGTATAATAAACAAAAACACAAATTACAGACAAAAGACATACAACAAAAATAACACATACATGTCGTCCAGTCTTGGTAGAGGCACAATTTGTTGTGGGGTGGACACATATGTTACGTTCAAAAGAATGTAAAAGATGCCCAAAACCATGTACTATTCCTTAATCAATAAAATATACAACGAACATAAACAAGGAACATAATTTGGATAGAAGAGTGAAATATGAATTTCTACTATAAAAATCTAATAAGGATGGCAACAGTTGGTGGTTGATTACTTGGGCCTTGTAAAACAAACCAGTAAAAGAGGGACGAAAGATACCAGAGGGACAGTCAAACTCATAGATCGAAAACAAACTGACAACGCCATGGCCAAAAAATAAAAAGACAAACAGACAAATAATAGTACAGATGACACAACATAGAAAACTAAAGACTAAGCAACACGAACCCCATCAAAAACTGGGGGTGATCTCAGGTGCTCCGAAAGGGTAAGCAGATACTGCTCCACATGTGGCACCCGTCGTGTTGCTTATGTTATTACAAATCTGGTAAATAGTCTAATTCGGTAAGTCACATTCGTGAAAAGGGAAGGGTATTGTAGTTACGACATAAGGAACATATCCGATATCATCTGTGAAACGGTTATTCCATAACGGTCAACCAACTCGTGTTGTCGTCCGTAAAATTTACAAAGGGATGATTTCAACTTCACCATTTGAAACTCTTGGATTAATAGCTTCCTTGTGAGCAGCAATTCTCTATCAAGGAAATCATGATAGGAAACACAAGCCCGGGAATATCGTATCAATTGGGAGATATATACTCCGTATGCAGGCGCTGCTGGAATGTTGCTACATAGAAATGGAAAGTTCACAATTGGGAAGCTGAAATCATCTCTTTTGTCGTAAAGTTTTGTTTTCAACCGACCCTCATTGTCAATTTCTAGATGTAAGTCAAGATGTAAGATGTGACTAAAGGAAAATCAACATTGAAAAAAAGAAATTTAAATGGTCTATTTTATCGTTTTGTTTTATATTTTGCAATTTTGTACAAACAAATGTCAGTCTAAAAATAAACCACATTGGCCATTATAAGTATAAGCTTTAATCACTTGCAGTTATTGAGGATGTGCACATGATGAACTTTGGTGTGTTGATCTAAACAATTGCCTAATTGCCTATCGGATTATAGCAGACCCCTAATTTTTATTTCTTCATATTTGTCTACATTGTAGAGGATAAGGGCGGAAAAATAGGTGTCTTTTTTTATACAGCTCTTTAATTCTATGTGAACCTTTGTTAATGATCAATTGCAAATCTGTTTATATTTCACAATATTATATTTTATTTTGAACAAGGGTTTTATGATACAATTGAAAGAACTCAAATTGAAATAGATTTTGACCAAGACAACGACAGCAAAGGTATAAAATAAATTCGTTTTTTTTTATCAATTAAGATTTATAAATTGATTGTTGATTAACATAATTTTAAATAACAAATACCCATTCACAGTAAAACAAAAACAATATTATTATATGAGGTAGAAGTAGCAGTTGTAATAGTTGTAGGAGGAGATGCTGTTGATGCTGTTGATTATGTTGTTATAAACATGTTACTTATCAAAGAAACCATTTCTTGAAAATTCCGAAAAAGTTGTGCCAAAATGACTCAGAAACCTTTGTGTTTCGAAATATGCAATATTTTACAAACAGCAAATTTACAGAAAGTGAACATATCAATGATAAATTATGTAAACACTAAAGTACTGACTACTGGGCTGATGATAACGTCACAGATGAAATGTCCACCCGAGGTTGAATCTACTCAGTTGGTGTAAAAATTCATCAAAAAGATAGGGCTTATAATTTGGTACGCCAAACTCGCGTTGTGTCTACAGGAGAGTCATCAATGGCGCTTGAATCAAAACAGTTAAAAGGCCAATTGAATACAAAATATAAGAGCATTAACAAATACGGCAAAGGCAATTTAATCTAAAACAATTAAGTTAGAACCATAACAGTGATTTTCCCTGATGAAACAAGGACATTCTATTCATGTTATTTAGGTGTCCATTTATGAATTTTTACAAAATATGATGACCTCGATTGACCACCTTGGGTTCATTTATCGTTGTCTCTCATGACGATCTAAAACTCAGCAAATTATGAAATGATCCATAAAGGGTCCGTACCTTGTTTGATTAAACTTATGTTAAAACAGTTTACTGGAAATGAATTATATATTTTTATATAGAAATCGATGACGTGGCTCAACCAGATGACGAGGGTATTGTTGTTGTATTACTCGGCAATGCTTCCTGCATTTATCCATTTTTTTTGTTTTATATTTTCCTACAAATTTGTACGATACAACATCCTTATCTTCTAGTAAAATAGGAAAAAGACAAACAATAAAATTGAGAATGGAAATAGGGAATGTGTCAAAGAGACAACAACCCGACCATAGAGCAGACAACAGCCGAAGGCCACCAATGGGTCTTCAATGCAGCGAGAAACTCCCGCACTCGGAGGCGTCCTTCAGCTGGCCCCTAAACAAATATGTATACTAGTTCAGTGATAATGGACATCATACTCAACTCCAAATTATACACAAGAAACTAAAATTAAAAATGATACAAGACTAACAAAGGCCAGAGGCTCCTGACTTGGGACAGACGCAAAAATGCGGCGGTGTTAAACATGGTTTTTGAGATCTCAACCCTCCCCCTATACCTCTAGCCAATGTAGAAAAAACAAACGTATGAAACAGTACGCACAGTGAAACTCAGTTTAAGAGAAGTCCGAGTCCGATGTCAGAATAGGAAACAAAAGAAAATAAACAAAATGACAATAATACATAAATAAGAACAGACTACTATTTATTTCAGATCAAATATGAAGATCTTTTCAACAAATATATGGGAAAAATAATAAGAAAAATGATTATTGATACCAAAATATTAGAACATATCTTTTTATTTGTAGGCAGGCATTGAAAAAGATAACCTGACATTGGCTTTAGAACCAGAATGCGCAGCGATGTATTGCAGATATCTTGCTATGGACAGACAGGAACATGGCGATGAAATGGAATTAAAAACATTTGATGAAAATGCGCGGTTTATGGTGGTTGATTTAGGCGGTATAATATATATTTATATTTTTTTCTTCATCCTGAATTGACAGTCAATTACATATATTCATCTATGGTGGAACATAATAAAGCAAGCGATATAAATAAGCATAATCAAGTACTGTATAGCTTAAAACTATCCAGCAATTTTAAAGAAGGGTGGAGAACGGAAGTAAACATGATTAAGGCGAAGTGTACGTAATTAACTACTCCTCAGAATTTTAAAATTTCACATATGTATTCTGCTTGTAAAATAACACCAGAAAATGGAAAAAATGGGGTAACCGTTTTCGTTTCGAGATACGAGCTGTTGAAATTAACAGTATAATACGCCAAAAATACAAAGGATACATAGGGGAAATCATAAAAATTAGCAGATATGTTTACATTATCAAGATTTTTTATTTTGTTGTTCCACAGAATTTAAAAAAAAAATGTTATACGATTCAAAACTGAAAGACGAATCCATTGGTGCAAAGAAAGTTCTTAGCAACCGTGCTAGTTTTCAAGCTACTCCCTGTTAAGTTTTACTTTTAGCGAAAAAAAATGAAATATATTCGGCGACGTTATTGATGTCTACAGTAAAGTCGCCAAAACTTCTACGCCGTAACGCTGTTATACTGTACAGTATCGTAACAAAATCGTAAGTAAGTATTACCCATTTTCCTAATTATTACAAATGCGCAAGCGTTATAAATTGATAAGGATATAAACTGACTATTTTTTAAGAATATTTCCGCCGCCAAAAAAAATGCAAGATGGCAAATAAATGTACTGAAAGTGAAAGAAAGTTACTGTAGGCTTTAACTTCATCTTTTTCATGCTTGTATTGTTCTAATTTTTATGAATCAAATTTTGAAATTTGTCCCGGTTAACACAGCGTTGTCAGAATGATTCTATAAAACATGAATCGGTTATAATATAAGAATCGGGTATACACCTCTTTTTCCATCTTATTTCTGCATAATTTTCTGCATCTTTTCATCCTCATCATATCCGGTGCTATTCTGATGTATTGCGCGCAATGTAGTCTACATCAAAGCCTATTTTATTTGTCTTCTTTACACACATGCACGTGACCCAACTCTGCAATTTTATTTTACAAAATTTCCTGTCTCGTTCGCTTTACCTTTTCTTCAACTACACGACAAAGCATGATATAATGTTTGCTGAATGGAGTTTCAGTAACAAAGGAAAATATTTCTTGTACAATTATTTGTTAAATATCCACATGCCCGGCTTCCAAAAAATAAGATCTGCATAATATAACTCTGCAGCTATGTCGATTCTTATACATCCTTTGCTTTCAAATATTCGGCTTTGAGCATTCTTGATGAAGGTAAACCCAGAAAAGCGCTTCTGACGCATGAAATTTATACCGCGTTGATTTCATTAAATCTTCAGAATGTTTATGGCTGTAATAAGGTCAAAAGAAGAACTCGCATATAAATTTTAACAAAAAAGAACATATCTGAGTTTTTGGTATAACTTCATGTAGCAGATATTTCATACATATTCAAGATGATACTTTTAAGATCGACGTACCTAGTGCATTTACTTCAGGAACATTCCAAGTGTTGTGCGGATTGCCATAGCATTTTGTATAGTGTAATGCTATGACATTTTGTATATGGTAATGCTATAGCAATGTCTTTAATGTAATGCTTTAAATGTACTGTAGTAATGCTATAAGAATGTTCCAAAGGCGACGTTATGAGAATGTATCCAGTGTGATGCTAAAAACAATTACCTAATATAATTTTATAAGAATGTACCTAGTGTAATGCACGAAGAAGTGTTCATTATGTAATGCTTTACGGTTTACCTAATGTAGTGCCATACGAATATAGCCTCTACATAATGCAAAGGCATTGCTTTTTTATTAATATAATATAAAAATATGGAGATGTGGCATGACTTCCAATGAGACAACTACCCGCCACTGTTCAAATGAAGTAGATGTAAGCAATTATTTTAGACAACCATACTGCTTTCACCTCTCATTCCACCAAATATTAAATTGCAGTTTCAAGCGTCACATAATGTTCTTGACCGCTCTTTTTTACCTTAATATACTCTATTCAGTCATAATCTTGAATTGAGACTTGAGAAGAAAAAGGTAATTTCAAAATTGCATTCACTAATTCTGAATGACGCACACAGGCAAAATTAAAAAAAAACAACTTCGCTATCCCTTCGAAATTGGAATTTGATAAAGAAGAAATGACATGTTCTATTTTTATCATACATGTGTAGTTTCAGTTTCAACTTGGTTCTAAATTTAGATTTTGTTTCCCCATAAATTGCGGACGGATTAGAAGACACGTGTTTATTTTCTGCATAGACATAGGTAGATAATGTTGAAAACGAAGAGTTGAATGACATAGTTTTTACTTATTCTAGATAGATGTTACAATGCTCACTTCTTAGTTTCTGTGTAATGTTTTGTGTACTGAATCTGGTATATTTTGTTTGTTTGCTGTATTTTATTCTTCTACTTGTATAAAGTGTTGCACTAGTGGTAAAATTACCGTGACGGTCTTGATATCGTCGTACTTTTTATATCAATATAAATCATGTCCTAAAATTTTCAATTGCATTATTTCACATGTCATATAATTATTCGTAACTTAAAATTTTACGGTACTGTGTGTATTTTATTCAAAACTACGATATTTTAAAACGATATTGTTCGGTCAATTGTGGTTTGATTTTAATCAATTTGATACGAATAGAAGCAGAATTGTCACATGTTTATTTGTTTATAATTTAGTTGTCAGGAGTTTTTACTTTCTGTTGATATAAACACGAGTCATGTTGTGTAAATTCACCTGCGCGTCTAAAACAAAAACAGTGTAATAAAGTCAGGCTAACTAACACTAGGATACTTTGATTTCTGATTGGAGTCATTCAGATAATGTCTATAAGGTTTTGAGACAGCACAGGCGTACTTGTTTGGATTCGTGATAGACCGCACGAAGTACGTGTGCCCATTTTTCCTTTCTTTGAGTAAGGGAGATAACTTGCGTAACTAACGACGTACGTTTTTTATCCCGGATTCCGCTAGAGGCGTGCAATTGCGTACACTTCGCCTTAAAGCATTTCCGTTATAATATTCAATCATGTTTGTTTTGAATAGTATAACAATTACTAGTATAACATTAACATAACCAGTTTTATTACACCATCTGCGCATTTCGACATATTATGATTTTTTAGGGATAATCGAGGCCAAATATTAAATGTTCAAAAACCCATTTGATTACAGTAAATCCTACAAATAAGATAAAGTATGATTTCCGAGGAGACTTAAAGAATAAATAATAGAAGAATTAAAATTAAAAAATATATTCAAGGAGTGATCTAACAACAATTTAATTCACGAATGCGCGTTGCGCATGAGTTAATTATCAGTGTTGTTTGGTCATGAGTTGAATATTTTTCGATCTTTGAATTCTACGATTAGTTATTCTTTTTATTAGGGACTTATAATTTGTTACCTGGAAGGGGGTGGGGGCTGGTCATTTTGAAATCAAACATAGAAAATTTTGTTGATCCCTTCTATAATATTTCACTATTTTTATTTGATCCCCCCTTAAAAACAGTTTTAAAAATGTGATCCCCCTTTTTCTTCTTCTTCCATTAATTTGCATTCCATCTCTGGTGTATTATCGCAAATGACTTTTTACACATGCCCAAAGGAAACATCTTTCCAACATACTTTGTACACAAATTTGGTTGAAAGACATCATGGTGTTATATACAATTAAAACTGAAATGTCTAACATGAAGCAAGTGTCTGGAGGCTGTCTTGTTATCCTTCCAATGAGGAAGCTGTGACGACAGTAGATGGTAGTTCATTCCAGAGACGAATTGCAGAGGAGAAACAAATGATTGATGGTGGTTTTGTATTCTCGAGTAGGAAAGTAGGAATCTGGTGCCATGTCCTCTTGTTGTTAATGCTACACCCCTCGGTATTAGGTAATTTTCTGCTGGTATTGCAGCAAAACGGTGTATTATGCGGTAGAGCATGATGGTCTTTAATCCCTTCCTGCATTCTTGTAATTCGACCCATTGCAGGGCTTTTTAACATCAGGGTTACACTACTGGTGGTTCTGTAGTCGCCAGTTACAAAGCTTGCCGCTCTTCTCTGCGCAATTTCTAATTCTCTGATATTTTTCTGAGTTATTGGGTCCCAAATAACAGAAGCATACTCCATAATTGGTCTTACTAGTGTGGTATAACATTGTGCCTTGATCTTATTTGGATAGGAGCTGATATTTCTTCAAGAAAGAATTGATGTTGTTCACTTTCTTGGTTACTGTGCCTATGTAATAGTTCCATGATAAGTTGCGGCTGATATTAAGGCCTAGGTATTTTGTGTTCTTTACTACTTCTTATGTCTGTCCGTGTACGGTATATTTTATGATAATTGGTTTTCTTTTGTTTGTTATCCGTAGTACCTGGCATTAGTCAGGGTTGAATTGCATGAGCCATGTTTCTTCCCATTTCTGTAGATTGTCTAGGTCTTTCTTGAGTAAGATGATATCCTCCTCTTTACATATCTTTCTGTAAAGTAAGCAATCATCTGCGAATAATCTAGCTTTAGATGTTACTAGTTCTGGCAGGTCATTTATGTAAATATGAAATAGAAGAGGCCCCGTTACAGTTCCTTTGGGAACTCCAGATGTTACGCCTGATGTTTCTGACTTATTTCCATCTAAAACAACCTGCTGTGTTCGGCTCTAAAGGGAACTAGCTATCCATTAAAGTGTGTTCCCTCGTATACCATAGTAGCTGCAAACCGTGTTGATTTCAAGACAGACTATTCAAGATGACTGATGATGTTACTATGCAGCATATGTTCCATGTTCTTGCTACAAATCGACGTCAGGAATACAGGACGATAATTTGATGCTTTCCCTCTGTCACCTTTTTTCAAAAATGGTGTAATTATGCCTCCTTTCATTGATCTGGCTTTTTGCCTTGTTTAAATGGTGCATTAAAGATGGTTGTTAGAATTGGTAATATTTCTGTTGCTAAATCTTTCAGTAGTGTCCCCCTCTATTAAACATGCCAAAATTTTAACATGCAAAACACTAACCTTTGACACACATGATATGTAAGATATACTTGAAGACTCAAAAGTTCACAAATGTTTCATTAGAGATAAAATTGATCCCCCCACTTTGAATTTATGAACAAATTTGAACCCCCTTTTTCCACTTACAGAAACAAAAAAAACTTGATCCCCCCTCCCAGTTAAAAAAACGTCAAGTTCCTTACATTGACAATGAATTTTTAATGGCAATAAAGAAGAAACTGCAAGGAACTTTATCTTTTTCTACGCGTTTACAATTTGCTTTTGTGCAACGTAATCGACAACGTCTTGATAACACCTACAATGTATTGTCATATGACGTCAGAGGATTGAAATTATCGAGTTTATTCTAGGACTATTATACTAACGGGACTGGAAACTGATCGATCTGTTGAGATTTCATTGCCCCGATAGCGGATTATTGATTTTTTGTTTTGATTGACAGCCTATCGTGTCACGTAGTAAATTAGCATACGGTACATGAATGTAAACAATAGATTTCGGCAAAAAAGTCAGCATATATATAATACTATTAATATCGGTGGATTTGAAATAAAAAAGATAATTATTAAATTAATTAGTTTAAATGCAAAAAGTATATATGGTTTACGAAAAATTATTAATAAGTAGTCAATATATTGGTGTTGAAAACAAACCAGATATAGTCGAAATTCCGTCGCTTTACTTGACCGCTAAGAAAACAACGTGTCAAAGGTTAACAGATCATAATTAATCCTGATAAAAACAATAAGTGTGCAATAAAAACAATGTTTACAATTTCAGTTCATAATTAATTCATATAACAAAAGTTACCCGGGTCTCATAAAAATACAGCCACATTGTTTTGAACTTTTGTGAACTTCGTGTTTACACCAAAATTTCAATATGGCTGTGAACGGGCCTACTTTTGTAGTTCTAATTATGGAACCTAGTGTACATATTTTCATGAACTCATATGCTAATGCCACCAGAAGACCATTACTAAGCAAAATTAACCCTGATTATAATAAAAATATTGCACACATAAAAAGGAGTAGGTAATTTTATAGGAACAGTATAATTTATTTGAGCCGTGCATGTGGGTTCCGGTTGTAATGAGAAAGAGATTTATATTCGACTTTTTATTTTAAAAAGTGACAATAAAAATAGGCAAATCCAAATTATAACCTATAAATATGATTTTACAACAAACCGAACTTGCGTATCTCTTTTCAATCAACAGTAATAAAAAAATTTATGAATCATATACCTTTTTCCACATCGTCCCCAAGCTATTTTCATCCTGAAAATTTCAATCTTTATGTGTCATTTTTACACTTAAGACGGGACTTGGTAATTAATAACAACTGTCAAAGATCGAGATATCTTTTATCATTATAGTTATCATAGTTTATATTAAGGATTATCATTTCGAATAACTATAAAATAAAAAAAAAACAAATTACCGAAATTATAAGATCAAGGCACGCTGTCACTATCAAAACAATATGGCGTATCGATAAATAGCGCAGGTAAAGTCTCGTTCTAAGGACCGTGATGTTGATATTATTACACTAATTGGTGTAACGGTTTCCAGTCCCGTTAGTATAATAGTCCCAGGTTTATGTCACATGTGAAATTATCAGTTTGACCAAACGTGGCCACAATCATCAATGGGGTGTCTTGTTTACAAAATATGTCCAATGAACCCATCTGACAAACATGGATGACATGGCTATAGAATTAAAATGCAACTTTTGTCTATTATCTTGAAATCCGCTGTAGATAGAGAAAATCTAACTTGGGCAAACATGTTTAAAATGATGAGATATACCTGATTGCTATTGACATCAAAACTTTCAGACGCCTTTTAATAGGATTTACTGCCCTTAAACGACAAATTTTACCAACTTTTTTTTTCATTTTTGCATATACATGTATTCATTATCTCGATAAATATAACAGATAGACAGAAACAATAAAGCAAATATGTTCACTAAGACAATCTCTACAAATAAGTTAACATGATTGATATTGTCAATCGATCCCATATTAAAGAAAGTGCCCTTACTGACGTTTATTTCTCGTTTATTTTTTTTATTTTTTTCATTTTTGCATATTATTTTGAAAAATATAATAGATGGATAGAAACTTTAATAACACAAATTATCATCAAGACAAGATCTGTTAATAAGAAACATGGTTGAAATCTTGAGTTGGTTCAATAATGTTTGAGCTTTTGATTTTGCCATTTGATTAGGGACTTTCCGTTTTGAATTTTCCTCGGAGTTCGGTATTTTTGTTAATTTACTTTTTTGTGTACCATTTTTTTGCGTGTTTTGTCTTTTATCATAAAAACTCCAATATATAAATAGAAACTTTAAAAAGAAAAATTATCAGCAAGATCTATTAATATGTCAACATGACTGAAGTTGTCAGTTAGCTCTTAATAGAGTTATTCCCCTATAATAATGATAATGATAAGTTGCCATTGTTCAAGATGCAGATGAGCCACACAGGCACTTTAGAGCCTGTAGTTTGAAATACTAAGGTTTTTCAACACCAGGAATAGATTACCTTAGCTTACCTTTGGCAAAACCTTTTGGAATTTCGAGTCTTCAATGCTCATCTACTTCGTACTTTATTTGGCCTTTTCAAATTGTTTTTATTCATTCGTCACTGATATGTTCTGTTATAAACAAAGCGCGCGTCTGATGTACAAAATTCTAAGCCTGGTATCTATGATGGGTTTATTAGAAGATGACTGAATTGTGCCTCCTTCCTATGGAATCCAATTAATTGATTTCTTCTACTAAATTATGAATACATATTGTATCAAAAGATGAAAGATATTTGTAAGATATTACAAATTAGTTCTTAATATCAACACTTTCTTGAAAATCAAGGTACACATACACACACAGTGACAGACTTATTGACAACACCATTTTTGTATTTTTATATCATCGGTTTTCACATGTTAAGTTTTGAGTGTTCCTGATCAATATGAATCATAAAACGCACGAAAAATTTAATCAGTACTATGGTCCATAATTGCTAACATCCACTTCTGTTCAACTCTGAAAGTTATCTCATTGTCAATCATACCATATCTCTTTATTTTTATATAGTTATCATTTTAAGGTGGTACCAAACACCTTGACTAAAATTAATTTGGCTCGTTTAATTTTCATATTATTTTGACAAAATATTCACTTTGACTCTTTGACAAAAATATAAAAATTTCAAAAAACTTGAACCACACACTTTATCGGAAAAATTTCATTGGATATATAGCAGTTTGACAAACACTCATTTTGATCATTGAGAAGCTTAATATTTCCTTAACAATAGAACGTGATTAAAACGTTCAGTTGATTTTATAGAGTTATCTCCCTGTAGTGTTATGAACCACCTTAAGTTCCATTTTTATAAATTGAATGTATGACATAAATATACATGTAATTCCTTCTCCTCAATATATCTTACAAGAAAAGAGAAAAAAAGGACGATTTAGTAAGAACAGAAAAAGAAGTTTCTTAATAAAGGTATTAGAACTGACAGAAACACAATACTAATAGTAAATAAGTATAGCATTAATGGAATAACACTTACTTTCTATTTAGGCTACTTACAATATTTTAACAAAGTGTCCGAACTTGTTTCAGGAGGGACAATTGACATAACAATGTCAGAAGTTTTATCATCTGGACAACTTAGAGAAATCTACAACGCTACTGGGGGCCCATGGGGTGGAAATTATATCAATGACCAGATAATAAAAACCCTGAAAGTAGTTATCGGTTGGGAGGAAATGAGAAGGTTCCAAGCAGAGGATTATGATGACTACCTTGACATATTGAGACAAGTTGAACAAATTAAACGTGGTGTGGACCACGACTCTGAATTGTCAATATTAATACCAAGAGCACTTTTGACGAACATAAACGTTCCCGATTCACTCAAGCAGGACGTGCGAATAGAAAAGAAATGTATTACGTTATCGACAGCATTAATACAAACAATATTTTCTTCGTCGGTTGATTCAATGATCAAACATGTTGAAAAGCTACTTAAGAAAGAAGAAGTATGAAACGTGTCAACTATTCTGTTGGTAGGGGGATATTCAGCATCCAACGTTATTCAACGTGCTTTTCGGGAGAAGTTTGAGAAGAAATATAAGATAATTATCCCATTGACCCCAGATATGATAGTTTTAAAGGGAGCAGTTATTGGAGGCCATCGCGTCGAGGCTATCGTCGGACGGATGGCAAAGTATCACTATGGTCTAGGCTTAAGTACAGCAGCAGTCTCTGGTCAAAGTATATTAATAACAGAAAATGAGGAAAAAAGATTTTTCTCGTTAATCGAGAAAGGCCAAAAGATCAAAGTTGGTGATGTAATAACACAATACGAAATTGTCTTAAAAGCGAATTCAAGATGGGCCAACCTTGAAATGTATACCACCAAAGAAGATAAACCAAGGACAATCGTTGATAATGAACATTTCACAAAAATTGGAAGCATCCGTGTTATACTTCCACAATTCAGAAAAGAAATCAAATTGAGAATGGAAATTGGGAATGTGTCAAAGAGACAACAACCCGACCATAGAACAGACAACAGCAGAAGGTCACCAACAGGTCTTCAATGCAGCGAGAAATTCCCGCACCCGGAGGCGTCCTTCAGCTGGCCCCTAAACAAATATATATACTAGTTCAGTGATAATGAACGCCATACTAAACTCCAAATTGTACACAAGAAACTAAAATTAAAAATAATACAAGACTAATAAAGGCTAGAGGCTCCTGACTTGGGACAGGCGCAAAAATGCGGCGGGGTTAAACATGTTTATGAGATCTCAACCCTCCTCCTATACCTCTAGCCAATGTAGAAAAGTAAACGCATAACAATACGCATAAGTATACTTATCCTGACAATATCATATGGCGAAACAGAATTCAAAGTAGTTGCTACAGATAAAAATACAGGTCGCTGCTTCATTGGTAATTGCCGGTTTTTAGACAAGGATATCAAGCCAAAATCTGATTGAAATTAAAATTTCAATCAAATTAACAACGTGTGAAGGTATAACCCTGTTGGTTTTGTTTTAAATATGTCATTAAGCTTAGTATGTAGTTTATTCATACCATAGATTAAACATTAATTGGCAATGTTTAGATTTTGTTCTCATATATGTATGCAGTAGCATAACATTGAGGATACGTATTTGGGAAATATACGGTTGAATATTACTAAGAAACAAAGGTATGAACAATTCAAACACAGTTGACCTTATTAAAATATGGTTTTCTTTTTTGGTCCCTTTTGTTCACCGTATAGCTCCTCTGACGTTTCCACATATTTATACATCCCTGGCTTTCAAATGTTGGCATTTGAGTGTTCCTGATGAAGGCAAATTCAGACAAGAGCTTCGAATACTATTTATTAAGTGTTATCTTCATCTACTAGCATTTGGTCGATAGCATAGCTTGTGAACTGTTAGTTCCCACTGATATCAACATCCCAGTAGTCAGTGCTTCAGTACTGACATAATTAATAAAAAAAATCTAAAATTCTCCGTTGATAAATTTCACAACTACTAAGAAACTAGAAGAGAGGCGCTAGATACCAAAGGGACATTCAAACTTGAAAATAAACTGACAATGCCGTGACACAAAAAGAAAAAGACCAAAAGAAAAACAACAAATCTTAATTGCCTGCATTACGAAACATGCCATCCCAAAGGCCTATCAAGTATTGAGTACCACTGGCAGAAATTCCAATATCTTAAGGAAAAGGCATTTGTCGGCTATTTTTTTAAAGGTCCCTTTCGGTTATATTTCTACATAATTATACATTCTATTGCTTGGACTTGAACGTTTATGATGAAGGTAAAACCAGACAAGGTCTTTTGATATGTTATTTTCATTTAGATATTCATATCGATTGATAATTTCTTGTTAATATAAAATTTATTTAATCTTGCTGAAAACCATAAATATAATGCCAAGATTGATAACGAATTGAAGTGATTTCCATGGTGTTTTTGTGAAGTTTCTGCTGAAACTTATTATTAAAAACGTTATCATTTTACATTGAAATAAGATCTTGGAATATCGTCTTTATAAAAGTAAAGAGATGTTGTATGATTGCCAATGGAACAACTATCCACCAAAGTTTAAATGAAGTTGATATATACGCAATTATAG